TTTTTAATATTTTTAAAAGAGTATCTATAATCATTTTGCTGAGTAACTACTCACAAATGTTTTTCAGATTCTCAAATTGGTTGTCATCTGGTCTGGATGCTCGTAAGACGGGTAATACCAGCTCCAACTCTGGATATGAATGGGCAGCTTCAGCTGTTCCCAGTGATTTTCTCTATGTAAGTGTCATGTCATGATTCTACTATTTGTCTCTTTTGTGACATGAATATGAAACTTGGAATCACGATCAGAAGAATGTTGTATTCTTGATATGTCATAGATTTACACACCCTACTCCGATCCATTTTGCAGTCTAGTGTGTACCTGGCTGGTGCGAACCATCCCTTGTACATGTACATATATAAAGCTTGGCCTTGCTCTCAAGTGAGACATATAATTTGCATAAGTGAGACATGAAGTTAGACTTGCTCTCTGTGAACCTTCATCCCACTACTGAAACTTTATTTTTCACATTACTTGAAGAATGATGCTAAAGAGAGTAACTTCTTTACCTAGTTTATTTTATCAGCTAAGGAAGCAACCTGCACCATATTATATTATATTATAACTATTTATTGTGATGATAGTAGTGTGCATGAAATGTTTTAATTGTCTTGTTACTGTGATTTAGAAAACATTCCTATATAATAGTTGCCACATTTATTAGCTGTATTAATGTCATATGCATGAATGATCATGCTTGTGCTTAACCAGTGTTTTTATAGAGGTTCTTTGATTTGCAGATTATTCATGATATAAGTTGTCTGGTCACAGAGGTTTGTGGAGGTTACCTTGATGATGTACTTCAGCTTCTATCTTCATGTTCCATCGACATACTCGATCTAGTAAAACAAAGCATTTTACAGGGTGGGAAGTCATTAAATGGTTTAATACCTCTAGTTATCAATGCAATCACAGAGTCACTGGTTGATGAGGCTGTTAAGGTGAGCTGTAATTGGGATTGACATTATTTGAGAATGCTTGGCTTCCTTCTGCCTTGAGTCTTCTCTGAATCTTTTCTAGATGTGATATTTCCATAAAAGTTCTTCATTGCTAGTAATTCAACATATTGAAACATTATTCCTGGCTCAGTTCAATTAGTGTTTTGAATATTTAGTAACAAAGTTTTTTGCACAGGGCTTGAAAGATGTGAAGGCAATTGCTACGACTTTCAGGATGACTAATAAGCCTATTCCTACCAGACATTCACTCTACGTATCAGGATTGTTAACTCCATTAAAGAAGGTATATATATTCTTCTTTGCTTGTAACTGTTGCATTACCCTTTAAATAGCACTCCTTAGATGTGGCTGGTAAACTCATTAGTCTGTGAGACCTCCTTCCACACTGTCGAAGTATATGTGCATGGGTGACCATGGACACAACACTCCCACTGAATTAATAATCATGCATGTGCAAATGCTTGCTTGGCTCAGTTGCTCATCACAAATGATCATTACAAGGTAGTACCTGATCTTTCAAGGCTTGATAAACTCATTCACTTTTTATTCGAAGAAAAAAATTCATTTACTTTCACTAATATTAACTGTTAGATCTAATGTTGTTAAACTACTTACTATTTGATTTCTGCTCTTATATAATTCTTCAGTCATTACATATTCTGCCTTGACTCCTCTTTTTTGGGCTCTGGCTCCAGCCTTCTGTAGATGTAGGCATGTAGCTTGTCCTATGTCAATATATTTTAACATGAGCTTCAAACCTACTGATATCATCATGGATTAGTTTTATTATAAACTTTGCATTGACCCCATGACTTTGCTTCTAGGATTTTCTGGATACAGAGAAACATAGCCCATATTTGACTAAGGAGACTATGAATGAGTTACGGCATGGTGCTGCTACTGCAATTACTGGTCGTTATTATGACATGGTTGCTGAAATCGTCAATGTGGTTAGTGTCTGAATTAAATTGTTTTTTTCTGACTCGGCCTTTATTTTGAGATTCTCGACTTTAATATGTCGTTTGTCATGCTCAGGCTAGGAAGACAGAATCTTCACTCCAGAGATTAAAGAAGGGTGCCCAAAGACGAACTGGAGTGAGCTCAGATGTCTCAGACCCCACTGTATCTGATACTGACAAGCTATGTATGCAATATTTCCTTGATATTCAGGTGAGCATTGTCCATTGTCTTTAACCCAAGGTCACACACCCGTAAGCACAAGCATGCATACAGCTAGGCACTTCCGCACACAGAGGAACAGTTGGTGTCTGTTTTGGAATTAAAATGATCTTGCTCTAGTGGACTTATGTGCATGTAATTTACCAGGAGTATGGACGCAACCTCTCCACCCTTGGGGTTGATGCAAAAGAAATTCCAGCTTTTCAATCCTTGTGGCAATGTGTCGCTCCTCTAGATAGACAAAATGTGATTAATTTGTGAGAGTTGGCATTGCTTGCTAGCAGTTTCTCACCCCTACTTTCATTTATCAGTTCAATATACATATGTATTCTGTAAATTGAGTTCAGAGAAGTGCATTTTGTTTTTTGGTTTTACTCCATAAAAATATCCTAGGCTCTCGGACATTCATTGCTAGGTTTTTTTCCCCTTCTTTTTTTGAGATAATTTTGTACTGGCAACTTCGATTTGTTTAATGAAGCAATTCTAATATTATGGTTAATTCTCTTCATTAACTCCACTGTCATCTTATATACAGTCAAAACTATTGTGGTTTACTAGGTGGCGACGACTGTTTCCATTCACAAATGCTATCAAAAAATGAGTTAAATGCTATAAAAAAATGAGTTATATACAGTCAAAATTATTGTGCTGTACCAGGTAAGAAACGCAGGCTTTCCCATTTTGTGCGTGGCGCATTCAAACCAATTTACGCTGTACCCGACTTTTGGCTATCTTTGACTTCTAGGAGGGGTTTGCCTTTTCCTCTCCTGGGAACCATGGCCTGGGCTCCAACATGGAAAGCAGCAGTTAGCTCTGACTGCGTTTTCCTGCTTAAGATTGCCAGTAACATATGGCGCTCTACTGTTGAGAACTCGAGGGTATTCTCTAGGCACAGTTGAAGTTCCTTTAGGTTATACATGGCAGGCTGCCATCTTTAGCTCAACATGTTTCTCCCTTCCCTACGTTGGACAAGGCTCCTGTTTGGAACCCGCTTATTTCGTCAAGTTGGGGTGATCCCTTCATGCTGCTTTGGCGGCACGAAGCATTGCTATAACCTGAATGTTAATAACAAAAAATTGGAGATGGTCAAAACCTGATCTCAACTGCCAACGAGTAGTATTTCACCAACAGAAAATTGCCAGAAAGTGGCAATTCTCTTGGGTGATTGATGTGTTTTCTGGCTATTATCCTTCCTGCCACGTGATAGAGCTAACCGCATAGAACAGAGGGTATAAGATCAATAAAATTTATTTCTCATAGAGCTTGTGGAGGGTGCTGTTTTTCAGGTCATGGAACCTGAAATTCTTGGAGCATGCTTGAACTCATTTGCACTTGATATCGAGACAAGAAAGAGATTTGAAGAAATTAAGGAGGAACAGTATCTTACCACCTTTGACACTGAAGAAAACGAGGAACAATATCTTACCACCTTTGACACTGAAGAAAACATCATCAGAGTCTGATCCTAGCGAGGCTTGTTGCTAACTGCAAAAAAATGGAAGTACGATTTATTTATATAAGCAGCTTGCAAACCCAAACCAAGAACTGCGAAATTGAACATTAGATTGTAAAGAGAGTAGAAAACATAGAGTAGTCAACATCTATTGATTTCGTTTTCCAGTATGCAGAGGTTCATATGATACGGACTTTTTACTTGGGACATACGTTCACGAAATCATGATCTGAACATTTTACTGAATAATTTTGACTAAGCTTTGAAAAATGCATATGAATCATTGATCAAGTTGCCACAGAAGTTTAACCATTCATACCAATGTGCTGGGATTTTTTCACTGGTGATGCTGCGGAAGACTAATCAGAATTCAAATTGTATTTGGCAATTATCCGCAATGACAGGACTTTCCATGGAATAAGATGAATTAGAAACCTTGTAGGTTTCATTGCTTGATGAGCTCAGTGTTTCACTGACTGAAACATCGATGCCACGGAAATTTGTCTCGGGAAGCACTACGGAAGTCTAATCAACATCCAAGCTGTTTTCAACCAATTGATCATCTGTAATGACCAGACTTTCCTTGGAAGAAGATCGCATAGATGCTTTGTCTGTTCCATTACTCGTGTCTGATTTCAGTGTTCCATTGACCGAAACACCAATGCCTGCGAATTTGTTGAAGGTGGTGCTGACAAAGACTGAACAGACTCCAGACTGTTTTCATCAGTAGAATTATTTGTATTGACTGGACTTCCATTAGAAGAGGATGGCATAGAAACCTTGTCCATTTCACTGCTCGAAGATGAATTCAGTATCTCATCGATTGAAACACCAGTGTCTTGAGAATCCATCACCAGCAGCTCCATGGTTGATAGATCAGAATCCAAGCTGTTTTTGGCTGGCTTATCTGCTTTGGCAGGACTTTCCTGGTAAACATGGAGTTTGGTGCTTCACCGGCTGAAACACCGCAATCCATTTTCACTGAGAAGGCCCTTTCTTCACGATGCTTCAATTTTCTTTCTTTAATTTTAAAATTCCACAAGAGGAGAAAGGCAAGAAGAGGAAATGAAAGGTTACTTTTAGTTTAAGCTGGAAAAAAGAATATACCTCAAGAAAACAAGAACAAGAAATTAAAGAACAGAATGAGAGATCGCAGACAACAAAGTTGATGTTGGAACAAGTGCATTGATAATGCCGATTGCTTAACAACAGTTGGCTTCTTGGCTGGCATTTCTGGACTTTGTTGTCCTCGATCAAGAAACAGACCAGGCTGCGTATTCATCAACTTTCACAAATACATCACAGCCCTGGAGAAGTTTACATGTACTTTTCTTTCACAGATTTTCTTCATCTGTAACCGTTATAACAAATGAAATATAAAAGGAAAATTCATGAAAAATGTGACCTCTAAACAATAAAAGAAACTTTCATTATGTTTACAACTTACAAGAAATGAAGAACCCAAGAATCACATAAAAGAAACAACTGGTGAAGAGCATGATATGCTATAATACAATACATAAGATTCTAAGAACATCATTTCATCATAATCATAAATTCTTCAAAGCTAAGAACACCATCCCCGTTAAGGTCAAACTTGTTTATCATCACTTCGCATTCATCAATTGATCTTGACTCTCCAAGTCTACCAAGCATTGTTTTCAAGTCCTTGGCTCTGATAAACCCACAATTATCCATATCATACAAGCGAAAAGCCTCTCTCAAATCGTGCAACTTCTCTTCTTCACCTCCAGCTTCCATTAGTCTAACAAGATCTTCCAATCCCAACAAGCCATCTCCGTCTGAGTCCAACGACTCTACAGCAAGTTCTGCCTCCTTCACGAGAAACTCTCCTGCAATCAAACCTAGACGACGACTTAACTCAGATGGTGAAACCTTCCCATCACCATTCTCATCAAGGTGGCGAAAAACAACTTCAAATTCTCTAGCGTTAACCATGTTAGACTATCGACCTAAGATGACAGCGAACAGGTTGACTTGTTTTGCATGCAAATGACAGATACTTCTCGATACGAAATGGAGAATTAAACATTCCTATTTATAAATTTGAAGGCCGTGTTCCGCTTACAAGGTCTTTGGACCTACGATCTCCATCACCCGAGGAAGAAGTTGTATTGACGAATTTCTAAATCCAACAAAAGAAAGTTCAAACTAGAGAAAGTGATGAAAAGAGAATAAGAATGCCGTGGCTGCAATAATTTAGTATTTTACAGGCAAGGAGGAGGAACCTGACCGCACTCGGAGAATTCACTGTGTAAAAGAATAATGGGTCGTGGTCAACGCCTAGACAATTTATGTCTTACTGCGTAGGCACTTCGGTCTAATTTCTTAACACTAGAGTTTTAAGTACATGTCGTGTTCGCTTCATTGTTATTAAACCTGGATCGGCCGGCAGGTTTATCCAAGATTCGGTTGATTCAGTAATTAAACTGATTCGAGTTAGGTAAAAGACTGGAAAAAAAAACTGGTGAAATCCAATTGAACTGACAGATCGATCCATAATCCAGGCAACCCAGTCGAATCCGGATGAGACCCGGCTTATATATAGAGTAACTTTACAATCAGCGAAAGGAAAGAACCATTTTTCTGCCCAAATTTTTTTTCTCTGAAGCTTGAAAAATCAAGAGATCTGGTATCTGTAATCCAAGTAGATGAGGCCATTGCTTTCGTAAAATTTTCAAGCCAAGGTAAGGATCGTGTATTCTTTTAATTTTAAATGTTGTCTTCAGGTCATTTAAATCTTTTGAGCTTGCAAAGAGGTTGGTTTCTTCATGGAGCATCTTCAGTTTGTGAAAATAATGGTAAACACACCCCAATCATATTAGCAACCAAGATTGAAAAGATGACAATTAGCTTGCCTCATCTGCTATTAGCTTGGCTCATAACATATTTTTCTAATTTGGCTTGCAAATCTCTTAGAATTCCTGCACTATTCAGCTGCATTAATATAATTAATTAGTTTTTAGCAACTTGTGTTGTGATTTTAAAGAATTGTTATTCACAAAGCTTGTTGTTCATCTGCAATAATATTGATTTTAAAGAATTTTTAGCAACTTGATGATTAGTAGTTTTGGTTTGTGTTTGATCTGGACACATGCAGAGCTTTAAAGGTTTGAACAAGCTGCAAAAATTGATGGGTCACTTTCCTTTCTGGTGATTGAAGACTGGGGGAGAAAAGATGCATTCAAAGTTGCTCTTCAAGTTCTACCAACTTCCTTGCTTTTCTTTAATTTATACCATATTTTTGTATGTTTATGCGTGTAGAAGGGGAGTTGAAGAAAAGGATGCAGCTTGTAACTGGCCATTCCATCTTTTGAAGGGCTTTCCTTGAATTAATTCCTGCCTATGATTTGCATGGATACAGATGAGAAGGATTGGAGAGAAGCTGCACATAGATTTTGCATTAATTCCTTTAATTTTTTTCGTTGACGCGAGTCAACCCATGTAACTTAGCACTCAGCTTCTTGACCGGGTCAACTTCCGAGTCAGATCTTATACTATGATATGATTCGATTCATGAGGCCGTAACCAGAATAATTATTAACAATGAGCTGGAAATGCAAGTCCACAGTCACCATAACCCAGTTCTTAAGCTTTCTGGATGACTTATTTATTAATGTTCAACATGCACTTTTATTATTATTTTTTTTATTAATGTGGTGGCGCCTCAACTAATTTGAAGCTGTAGGTAACGTGGTTATTTTTTTTTGTATGCTTATCTTTCTTAAACGGTTATGTTTCTATATAAAAAGAAAGTAGCTTTATATAACGAACAAGAGAAATTTTGCAAATAATGTTGAATAGGTGTTAGACTGATTCAAGGCTTCTGAGATTGCGATGAATTAATTGTTTTTATTAAAATAATCTCGATTTGTTTTTTTGTAAAAAAATTGGTATTAACTTGGTTGAGTTTAGCCTAATCAACTAATTAATTAAAAATTAATCAATATTTAATAGATTAGATTGATTTTAATAATTATATAATATTGTTGATGTTTCATTTAGGAGGATTATTGGTTTTATTAAGCAGAATACCCTAACTGATCTAATAGGTAAATTTAAGACCCGGTTAACTAGATGGTTGGAATAGTTAGGATTTATTAAAAGATTAGTTGGTGCAATAATCCGGTTGACTCATGACCCGATGTTTTTTTCTTTTCAAATGTAGTTTTTCTCTTACAACCTTTTTTTTTTTTAAGTTATTAATATTTTTTAAAGCTCACTTTATAAATATTAGAAAAATATTTTATTTTTTTAATGTGAGATTTGAAATCTTTTAGTATATATACTCAATGTTGTCAAGAAAAAAATTTTGTTTTTTAATATAAGATTTGAAATTCTTTAGTATATATATTCTATGTTTCTAAAAAAAATATTTTTTTAATATGGGATTTAAAGCTCTTATATATCTATACTCTATGTTTATAAGAAAAAAATTATGTTTTTTTAATATAAAATAAAAAACTTTTTGGTTTAAATATTTTAACTTAAAATGATAACATAATATTTTTTTAATGTAAGATTTAAAGTTTTTTAGTATATATATTTAATGTTCACAAAAAAAAGGTTATGTTTTTTAAATGTGGAATTTCAATCTCATTAATATATATAATCACATGTTCTTAAGAAAAAAGTTATTTTTTAATGTGAGATTTGAAGTCATTTTGTACACATATTCTATGTTCATAAGAAAAAAATTATATTTTTTCAATGTGGATAAAAAAAAATTTGGTTTAAATACTTTAACATAAAATTATAACATAATATCTTTTCAACGTGGAATTTAAAACTCTTTAGTATATATATTTCATGTTTATTAAAAAAATTTTTGGTTTAAATACTTTAACTTAAAATAATAACATAATATCTTTTCAAGATGGGATTTGAAACTCTTTAGTATATATATTTCATGCTCACAAAAAAAATTATGTTTTTTCAATGTGGGATAAAAAAAAAAATTTGATTTAAATACTTCAACTTAAAAGCATAACATAATATGAGATGATTTTTTTTTTTAAATATTCTTAAACTTTATTATTTACAACATGTATAACCTAAATTCATATGGATGTTTTTCTTAATATTTTTATATAAAATATAAAATATTTAAATATTTTTTTAATTTTTCTGGATTGATCCAAGATAACTCGAGTTGACCCATGAAACTCAGAACCTTGCCCTTGATCGGACCAACTTCTTACTGGGTTTGATAACTATGGATATGGGTTCACCAGTAAATACATTAAAAATTAATTTTTTATGTTTTTTTAAAGAATTTTACAGTGTTTAGGGTGAAAATTAGCATGTATAAAGTTTGTGCACAACAATTTAGTGCCCTTAATTGATTGTTTGTATCGAAGAACATGAACAAGTCTCTGAAGTTGTTCCAAAATCCATAGAAGAGATCACTAAGTAGAATACCCTATTATAATTGATTTTTGTATTCAAATTAGTATGGGTATAATTATTAAACCCGGACTGGCCTGACAGGTAAATCTAAGACCCGGTCAACTAGGTGGCTAAAATAGTTAGGGCTTGTTAAAAGACTGGTTGGTGCAATAATCCGGTTAACTCATGATCCGATGTTTTTTTCTTTTCAAATGTGGTTTTTCTCTTACATCCTTATTTTTTTAGTTATTAATATTTTTTAAAGCTCACTTTATAAATATTAGAAAAATATTTTATTTTTTTAATGTGAGATTTGAAATTTTTTAGTATATATACTCAATGTTGTCAAGAAAAAAGTTTTATTTTTTTAATATAAGATTTGAAATTTTTTAATATATATATTCTATGTTTCAAAAAAAAAAAATTAATGTGGGATTTGAAGCTCTTATGTATCTATACTCTATGTTCATAAGAAAAAAATTATGTTTTTTAATATAAAATAAAAACTTTTTTGATTTAAATATTTTAACTTAAAATGATAACATAATATTTTTTTAATGTGAGATTTAAAGTTTTTTAATATATATATTCAATGTTCACACAAAAAAAAGGTTATGTTTTTTAAATGTGGGATTTCAATCCCATTAGTATATATAATTACATGTTCTTAAGAAAAAGTTATTTTTTAATATGAGATTCGAAGTCATTTTATATATATACTCTATATTCACAAGAAAAAAATTATTTTTTTAGTTTAAATACTTCAACATAAAAGTATAACACAATATCTTTTCAACGTGAAATTTAAAACCCTTTAGTATATATATTACATGTTTACTAAAAAAAAATTTTGGTTTAAATATTTTAACTTAAAATGATAACATAATATCTTTTCGAGGTGTGATTTAAAACCCTTTAATATATATACTCCATGTTTACAAGAAAAAAATTATATTTTTTCAATGTAAGATAAAAGAAAATTTTGATTTAAATATTTTAATTTAAAAGCATAATATAATATATTTTTAATATGAGATAATTTTATTTTAAATACTCTTTTAAACGTTATTATTTACAATATGTATAACCTAAATTCATATGGATTTTTTTCTTAATATTTTCATATAAAATATAAAATATTAAAATATTTTTTTAATTTTTCTGGATTAACTCTAGGTGACCCGGGTTGACCCACGAAACTTAGAACCCTACCCCCTGATTGGGCCGACTGTTTGTTGGGTTTGATAAGTATAGATATGGGTTGACCAGTAAATGCATTATAAATTAATTTTTTGTGCTTTTTTAAAGAATTTTACAGTGTTTAGGGTGAAAATTAGCATATATAAAGTTTGTGCACAACAATTTAATAGTGCCCTTAATTGATTGTTTGTATCAAAGAACATGAACAAGTCTTTAAAGTTGTTCCAAAATCCATAGAAGAGATCAAGAAAGGATCAATTCTGGGAATTAATATTTAACTACGTCAAACCCCTTGAAAGTATTATAAAGAACGGCCATCCAAGACTCTTTAAGAACTCGGAAAAAGAAAAAAAAACTGTAAAAAGATCTAGAGGAGAACAATATAACCGTTGAACTTTGTGGAAGAGCAAAGTGTTCCTCTCTTTTCGATCCAACATTACAAGGAATTTTCTTAATTAAGTTCTTTCGATGCAAACCCTACAAGGAAGTTTCTCAAGTGCCCTTTAGACAAATCCAAAAACATTCATCTTCAAATGCTTTTCGTACAATGAGATCAAGAAATACTCTTGTTTTGAATATTGTATAAAATAATCCATATCGGATAATTGGAGCTTTCGAAAATCCAGTTCTCAGCAAATGATATAGCTTTGGCTTTTAACGTAGGACACTCCAGAAGCCATAGACTACGATGGTTGCTCGACATGCTAGGAAGATTATCAATGATCCAAATTCAACTGCAAGCCTTGCTGTTTTTGAAAATTTTTAATTTTTATGTTAAATTAATTTTAAAATATAAAAATATATTATTTTGATATATTTTAAAAAATTAAACATTTTAAAAAACATTATTTGTCGTACTTCCAACACAAAATTGATGTGAAATTAAACTCTTTTTAATTTAATGAGATGGACATGAAACACTCTTTCTTCCTTGGCATATCGAAAGAACTTGTATTTAACCACAACAAATTACTCTTACTAGAAACACTTTATTCAGACAAAAAAATATGGAGGCGTGGAATGCCCATAAAAACCATGAAACGTAACTGTAATTTAATAAACAAAACTACTCAAACAATCGAAGATGTGCCCTCGAAATAGGACAAATCAAGCTTGGATGAGGAATTTATTGGATTTATAGTTAGCTAGCCTAGAAGAAGAAGAAGCAGCCAGCAACAGCGGCAACTCCAGCAACGGCAGAGAACTTGAGGGTGGCGGCACCATCTTTTTCAGAAGGACCCTCAGCTACTGCAGCGCTCCCCATTGGTCCTGGAACAACTGTGGTACCATCAGCAGAAGGTGCACTAGCCGCACCACCGTCATCAGTACCGATAAAATCATTGCTTAAAGGTGCCTCAGCTGCAGTAAAGTCAGTTGTGGAAGGAGCAGGGGCTGCAGCTGGAGGAAAGTCAGTTGTGGAAGGAGCAGGTGATGCAGCTGCAGCCAACCCAACAATGGTGGCTGGAGGAATGTCAGTTGTGGAAGGAGCAGGTGCTGCAGCTGCAGCCAACCCAACAATGGTGACAAAGACAAGAGCGAGAACAATGAGTTTGCGTGCCATTTTTGCTTATACGAAGAATATAGCAGATTTTCTCTCTAGGACAGATCAATAGAGAAACTCTGCAGGACAAAACAAAGATGATGAAGTGGTTGAAGGATTTGGAAGGGAGCTTGTTATATAAACCTGAAATGGGGTAGGGTTTTGATTAAAATGAGGAAACCACACAAGTCGGAGGCTATTTTAGGTGGTTAACTCCTAAAAATTACCATGGAAAGTCTGCAATTAGTCTAATTAAGTTAAAACCATTAGTCGATCCATATCGGTTTGCTACTAATTACTCGTAACTTTGCATACTAATTGATGGTTTGTAACCATGCTTCTCGTTTGTCTCTTGCCTGTAAAAGGGTTGAATTAGTCAGGATTTTTTGCAGTTCTTGAGGCCAATAAATTAATAGTGCTTCCCCCCTACAAAAAAAAACAAAAAAATCTATATTTAAACTTGCATGGTCAAAGAATAACTTCTGAACTCGAACCATTCATCTGCGAGTTGTGCGGGGAATGTTTTTTCTTAAGAAAATCTTGGTAAGGAACCAGACATCACCCTTAGCTCTCAACTTTTGTGCCACTTGTGAATCTATAACTATTGCTTTCTTGCACCAGAACTTTCAAGAGTACAGAAATAAAAAGGAAGAAAAGGAGTGAACAGGAGCTAAATTCTTTCAGTTGAATAAAAGAAACCGGCAAAAAGACACCCAGAAGCTGTGAGAAACTTCTGGGATATTTAAACCTGTGTAAGTTTGGCTAATAAGCAATTTAACAGTCGAGTTGCATCAAATCTTACAAAATGCTAAACGTCCTCCAAAGTAAAAAATATCACAGTCCCTCTTCTTTAGTATATCTGCTAACCAATTTTTGGAGGAGCTTGTGGCTACAAAACCATTTCATTTCTTGTTTGTCATTGCGAGCCTCTCTGATCAGATAGTTTGCACATCGGTCATGACGCTTCAGAACAGCTCGATTTCCTGCTTGCATTATAACTGCAAATCCCTGACAGTGATTATTCTAGTCGACCAACTGTGGTCTTCATCGCCTTGCTTCGCTTGAACAAGAGGCTGCTGAAAGCTCTTCCAGAAAACTCAATGCACTATTCCCCCCCTCTTCCAATCATTTTGTTGCCATTGTCTCTGAATCAGATAAAATATTATCCATGTCTTCGAAATAGGGCCAACTTTTTTGGCTTTTCTTGTCACTCTTGCTTTCCTGTTCATTTTAGCAATGGTTGTCACTAAGCAACATGATAAAGGAAGGATGAACAGATGACTGCACTTAGTGAAATTCAGATAGCACCCCTGCAATGATCTGGATTTCCATTTTTGGGTGCCATTGGTCCGGGAAAACAGATTACTTGTGGCAAAAATCTATACTAGCAGAGGTATTCACATGCAGATACGAGCTTCAATCCACAATAATAAACAGAGATCAAAATGCAATACCAAAATTTTAAATGTACGAAATGGAGGAACAAACCTTATATTTTTTAGCAAGAGATGTCCATAAATATTTGCACTGTCCTGGACTATGATTGATCCCATCAGCCATCAAGTTAGCAGATATCTCTTCCCACAGAGCCATTCTACCTCTTACAACTTGAAATCTACTATGCAATTCCCCACGCATTTTAATAAGACTCTTAACCTCCTCAGGTTTCCATTTGTTCCGTTTTACAGGTTTGGAACGCTTCGACCTAGAATTTTGATTTTCCAACGAGTCATCATCACTGCTTATGATACCATCTTCCTTGAGCTCATTTACATGCTCCCATGGTGGAACCAAGTTTTCACCACTTTTTACCAATTCATTGACTGGGGATGGTGGAATGAATGATTTCCTGAAATCATCTTGATTTTCAGAGTCGGAGGAATGTCCTTCAGCTAAGCTAGGACTTGAAGAAGTCTCCTCTTCTTTAGATAGCTCTCTTTCAAATTCAAAACCATCAACTGCATGATTACAATGTGGGGAAAAAAGAACACCACTAAGTGTACTGGTTTTAAAATCCCAAGCTTTAGAAAAATACTTCTGCTTGCAAGAACATAGAAATTAAGCAAAGGTCAAAACACAATATATATGCATGCTGAGCCGCTGGCACTATGCATTTCCAAAGAAAAACTCGCCTGCGTAACATAACTGGAGAAGGATACAAAGATGCCTCACCCAATCAAGAGGAAATGATCTTATAGTTTATAATGAGAGAAATTGAGTTTGAATCACAACACCAAGAAGCTATTGAGATCATATGCAAATAAACTAGTGGTCCTAAACTATGACAACAGAGAATGTGAAGTTGCTTCTAAATCACCAAACCAATCATGTCAGTCATGAACAGTTCTAAGTTTAGTTCAGTAAAATCTAGTCTGGTGATAAGCTAGATGATCTTGAGGCTCATCAAGAACAGATACTGAAAGCACGTTAAGTTTAGCTAAGATATGTAAACTAGCAGAGCTCATGAACACACAATATAGAAGAAGCCTGCATCAGAGACCAAGACAAAGGGGAAGAGGGAATAATTCGTTCGTGGACTTCCTCTTCCCACTTAGATGTGATACTGTAACAACATAGATACAAGCGGGGGGCTCTCACACTGGAGAAACCTGCCTTTGTCAACTGAAACTTGGAAGTCAGATGTATCCAAAATTATATTAAGATTGAGAAAATGATCACCATTTTTGTCTATAGTTTTTTAACATTGAAGTTCTGTAGCTTTGTGAGTTGTGACTCCAACATCTCAAGCCAGGCTCAAGCTCTGTTTTTTTTTTTTTTTTTTTTCAAGCACAAGCAAGCTTGAGCACCCAAAACAATCAGCTTGCCCAGTTTCCAAATGCAGCCTTAACTTTATTGTTGTTTGTTTTTTGTATACCAGTCATTTACTGGCTTATTGGCATGAGATGGAAAAAAAATCCCCAAGCCTTAAGATGTGAGTCATGCACCCACAAAAAAAATCCTCAAGCCTTAAGATGTGAGTCATGCACCCACACTAGTTTTCTCATATGTGCTCATGTATGGCTAATCATAAAATGGCCACCCATCCACCACCTGACCCCACACACACACACGCTCAATGAAAACACAGAGATGCAGAGATATGAGGACCTTCTGAATTTTGTGTTGATGTTTTCTCTAAATGTGCATAGCCATATCCCTCAGGTTGCTTCCTGTCCACCTGAATTTTTTTTTTATGCCCGTCAGCCATTTTTCTCAATGCTGATATGCCAAGGCCAACATGTGAATTGCCAGATAACTTCGCATTGAGTTCATCAGAAAGAACAGCCGCTGGGTTCTCCATGGCAATGGCAATGACTTCTGGCCTTTTACCACTATACTTCCTTACCATCTTTCTCAACAACTCAGATACTGTTCTTTCCATGTGAGCTAAAGGACAATTCACTGGACAGCTTGAAAGTGCAGCATGGGCAGCTTTGTGGAGTGCATCCAAAAGCTTCCCTTTGTCCAGCCATAGGCAGCGTGTTGTGATTTTAATTTTACCTTTTAAGCTATTTTCAACTAGCCCATCTGCATTTTGAGGGCGTAAAATTTCCATGCTGTAACATAGAAATGTCAAGAAATCATTACGGTAATAACAAAGATTAGTGCCACGTGGAGAATGTCAAGATGTCATTTCAGAATATGCAAAATCTACCTGACCACTACAATACCATCTGTTGCAATTCTCATTCTCTCATCAACACAAAGCTCAGTTGATGTGCCAAATGCCTTATCCCCATCATTGTACATCAACTGCACTACCAGACGAGATTTCTTGGAATGTCTCTCAATTAAATTCCAATAATTGATTAAATAAAACCATTAGCACAACCAACCTGCAAATTTTCCTTCCCAAGGGAGACAAAACCATTGGATAGAACTCTTCTGTTCCTCAAGTGAGAAACCCCAAGCATCTCTCCGTTCTTGATAACCTGACAGAATTATAGAGTGCTTGTAACTTTTACCAAGCCAATACATAGTCTGCAACTAGAAGCATTTGCAGAATAACAACAAAACAAGATTGCATATAATGTCATGTGTACAATAAATCTATCATATGTGTGTCATCAGCCAATGCCGTTAGACATAGCAGTCTTCTCCTGTTGTGATGGAATAGTCATTAATAGATTTTCAAGTTAAACCATGCAACACCCACCTACAAAACACTTTCAGTGAGGTTATGTGTTGTGGGCAGAACATCCGAAGAGTTGATCCGTTCTCATTTACATGGAAATTGGCTGGATTCATATAATTAACAGGATACAATAGAGTAAGAAATAAAGAGTATCAGTTGTCCATATTGCTAACATTTTGTTTATAGCGAGGAAAATTTATCAAGAAAGGATACATAAGTATATAAGGAGAATGATCCCTGACAGAACACAAGAGAAAAGCAACACGATTAGAACAATAATGCTCTCCAGCCTCTCTACATGTATACTATTGATCTTCTAAAACACCTATAGGATAGCAACCATTTTATCCTGTATCATTAGAAAGAATGATTCCTTATCCTGAAAGATTCTACACTCTCACGAAATGCATCAGATTGTGGCAAACATAGTGAACTTCAAGATCATCTTATGCATACTAATTACCAAAAGAATGCAAAGACTAAACTCACAGTTGTATTACCAAACAAATGTAAAGACTAAACTCACAGTAGTGTGCCGAATGCCAGTTGATTTCCCAAGCAGTTCATGTTCTTTCAAAAACAAAAGTTCTCCATGTATGGGAAGAAAATGTTGTGGCTTCACAATTTTAAGCACTTCCTCCTGAAGAAATGAAGTCAATGTTTAGATCAACTTTCCAGAAATTTGACAAAAATAACAATAAATATAGAATTGAACAGGTAATTAATATTCACAGCACTTCGACATGGTTCTCCATATAACAATGACAAAACAAAAAGGTAACAAAAAATAACAGGAAGAAATAACCTTCATACAATGAGTCAGTATGTGAAGGTTCTTTTCTTTTTCCACTCTTGGCACAGAACCATCACATGGAGTACAAGGTATAGAAAGATAATAACTGAAAAATAACATATAAGTGAGATTCTGAGGAGAGGCAAATGAGATCTCACCAGTTCTCCACGATACCCATGACCAGACGTGTGAAGCAGCTCATTCTTACCAATTACTATAGTTGAGCCAATCTCTGATATGCGATTCATCATTTTCATTACCCTAGATTCATTGCCAGGGATTACCTGAAAAATAAAATATAAACTGAAAACATATCTACTAATTGGAAGTAGTTTCAGCAAGAAACTACAAAAATGATTAGCATTATGACCATATACCTAAGCATTAAACTTTAGAACCTTACAAAAAAGGAAAACAGAGGTAGAAAATTATGAAATACTCCTGTGGCAGAAATATCATAAGATAGAGGAATATCATGCATAGTTGAGTGTAAAATCAAAAGTCCACTTAATTTGAGTAGTTCAAATTCAAAGTATAAACATGAACAACCAAATGCAATCATCAATTCTGAAGCGAGTAGTTCAAATTCAAACAACCAAATGCAATCATCAATTCTGAAGAAAAAAAGAAAGAAATGAGAACAAAATGGAGCGCCATTGCTGGCCATCTTCCATAATATAAAAACCACTTATAAAATTTCCATCAGGTTATGCAACATTTTTGGTACTTCTAACACATAAATATCATGGACATCATTAGATAATGAGAGAATCCGAAGTTCTGTGAGATTCAATCATTAACATCACATCTTGGTTTATTATACACCCTGTAAAAAACCATAAATCACCTCCAACTACATAATCTTAGCATACAGGGATTACTGAAGGAAAGTTTGAAATAAAGC